TGAGCTCTTTCTCTACTTCTACAAATCTTTTTTTTTTAATTTATTGTTATTGTATTATCGTTGGTATTGCTATTCTTCATTTACAGTCGCCAGTGATACTTCTTCAGAGTTCAGATTAACATATGAAGCTCTGTTATTTTTTTAATGGTCGAACAATTTTCTTTTTCTTTTTGTATCGTTCTGATTTATGCCATTTTTTGCTTTTTAATTTGATTTATTGAAATTTTGTTGATCGGTTTTAGCTTTTCCTGTTTTCATTTAAGATTTCTTCAGCTGGTTAGAGATTCCAACAGCAACCTCTCTCTGTGTCTCTCACGTTTTTCTTCTCAATCTCTTAAAATTTTTTTCTTTGAGGAAGAGTTCTTGCAAATTATAAGAAAGTTATGTTTTTTATCCCTTTGAAATTTCAGATGTAGATGGTAAGATTGATAGCAAGTTAACAAGTTTTTATATGAAAAGCCATGCACGAAGAAGAAAATGAGTCTTGGCTATGAATTAGAACTGTTAGCTGCAACGCTTATTCATAAAACTCTTGTGAATAATTGATATTTATTGGAGGTTGATGGATTACTCAATAATCTGTTTTTCACTCATTAAGGTTTCGGTTGGAACTGATTTTTTATTGCTTTTTTTAGTAAATAAGGTTCTTGAATTAGAAATTGCTGCTGTACTAAAAAGCTCATATAGAAAGCATTAAGAAAGTTCTCCCATATGAAGTCTAAATGAGCTTAATGATTGGTGGTTCCTTAGTTTGAGTTTTGTAATGAATTTGGTAGAATGCATAGGGGTTGTTTGGCAACACACAGGATTTGATTCAAGTAGGATTTTCTAAATCCTCTAAATCAAGATTCCTGAAATTTTCAGGAGTATAAATCTTGAAAAATGTTTGGTAACATTCATGATAAATTCTAAGAGATCTCTTGTGACTGTTTGGTTATAGAGCGGATTTAACGAGCAAACTCTTCCTCTCGAGCTAATGGATTTCGTAAATCCAACAAAAAAACAAGATTTAAAAAATTCGAGATTTAGCAAGAAAAGGCAGAATTTTCTCTCTACTTCAGCTTTCATTGGCCGTGAGATTTGGTTTTGCATTTTAGGCCATTTGATTGGATTCCACTCAAATCCACCTTAAATCTGGCCTAAATCCTGATACCAAACAACCCCATAGTGTGGAGTAGGGGACAACAACATTGGAGAAGACAATGCAATTTTAGCTTGTGAAGATATAAAGCTCAATGGCAACATGGCAAGGAAATATTGTTTTTGAGCTTGGTTTGAGGACTTCAACATTGCAAGGGTTGAAAGTAGAAGATAATGCAAGTTTATTTCGCGAAGATGGAATGCACCATAGCAGGTAAGTTTTGTTTTCGTGCTTGCCTTGATTTCCACAAGTCAAGGGGTTAATGAAGAAGACAATGCAAGATAGTTGGGAAGTGGTCTTTTTGAACTTTGCTCGAGGACTTGCACATAGCAAGGGCTTAATTTAGAAGACAATGCAAGCTCAACTTGTGAAGATGAAGATAGAATGCACTCGAGCTTGGCTCAATGGACTTCCACATGATAAGGGGTTGATGTAGAAGACAATGTAAGTTTTTCTTTGAAGATTCAATGCATGATAGCAAGGTGATCTTTTCGAGCTTTGCTCGAGGACTTCCACATAGCAAGGGGTCAATGTAGAAGAAAATGCGAGCTCAAGTTGTGAAGAAAGAATGCATTTGAACTTGTTTCAATGACTTCCACATGATGAGGGATTAATGTAGAAGACAATGTAAGCTTTGTTTTGAAGATTTAATGCATGATAGCAAGTGATGTTTTGAGCAAGTTTGATGGAGGAGAATGAAGGAATGTTTCTTTTTAGTTGATTAGCTTTTGCTATGTGTGGCTTCTTTGCTGGTTTTCTAATGGTGTAATGGAATGAGAAGGGTGGTGTAATTCTTCCTGTTTGACTCTATCCTTCTTACACATAACAAAAGTGAGAGAGATTACTTTCTTATAAAACAGGAAAAAAGTTGTTCTAAATGAAGTTTTAAGTTTAGTTTGAGATGACTTTTTTATTGCTTTCTAAAATAATTTTTTAATGTGAAATTTATTAGCTCAAGGAATTTTTATATTAAAGATTTATTTTAAAAAGGAGTAGGAAAGTTATCTCAAATAAAATTTTAGTTAGTGATCTTTCATTCACCATCACTATAATTTTAAAATCTTTTGGGGGCATGCTTTTTTTGGATCTAAATCAAATTAATTTTTGTGATAGGCGAATACATATTTTCAAAATAAATAAAATTTTTATAGATTTTTTTTTTTAATTTATACTTTATTATGAGTTTAAAAGCACTTTCTAAGCCACGAATTTAAAAATGCTTTACAATCTTAATGTTGGCTCTTGTCCGACTGTGGTGTGTGTGTTTGTGGAGCTTGACATTACCAAACGTTTCCTGACCGCATCTGGTTTGGCTTGGATAAGTTTGGTTATGTTCAGTTAGTTGAAATGGAGGTTTTCCCAAATTATTGTGGTAATTGCAAGTCTATTGGTCATGCCAATTCGTATTGTAGTGTCCTATTTCCTAAGCGCATTGATAAGGTTAATGTTAATTCTAATAATTGTTGCTCTTCTGATCCTTCTGGAGACCCTGTTGTCGATGTTTTACTTGTTGAGCAAATTCAGTCGGTTCTAATGTTAATGTGGGGGCTGGGGTTGATGCTGGGGGTCCTGTTGCTCCGCTCTCCACACCTGCTAAGTGTTTGGATATGGTTCTTGCTGTGGCTCCGCTTGCCTCTTTGGCTGTGCAATTTCCTACCGAGCTTCTGCCTTCCCCGTCCTTACCTGTGGCTATAAGTTCTCGGGTAGTCCTATTGTTGTTTCGTCTTTTGTTGATGGTACCCCGACTCATATCGTGGTTGTTGAACCGTCTGTTCAGGTGGTGTTTGACTTAGTTTTACGTGATTGTGAGGTTAATATTAGTGGAAAGGAGCTTCCTATAGGTCTTTCATGTATTAATGTTGAGGCTGATTCTGGTTCTACTTTGAGAGTTGGTAGTCCTGCTGCTGTTGCTGTGATTGGCTTGCCTTTGTCTGGCTCGAATCGATCGGTTAATTGTGTGGACATTCTTATTACTGTTATGTCTACTGTTGAATTAAATGCTCATCTTAATTAGTCCTCTAATAAGTCGGTCTTGTTCCAAAAGGATTGGCTGGATTTGGAGGTTTGTACTTCACACTAATATAAAGAGTTAAAAGTCAACTATCTCAAACTATTCTATGATGTGAGATTAAAAAACTTGCATGAATACTATATGAGTTAAAATTGAGTTTGAGCTATTTGGGTTGTGAATTTGGGCATGTTGGGTTATGAATTTGAGCAGGTTGGGCGGCAAAGTTTTTAATTTGTATTATAACTTCATATATTATAAATATGTTGTAATGTATATTATAATAATCTAATTTATTATAACTATAATTAAATATAAAAGTTAATTATGAGATATTTATAAATATAATATAATTAAATTATACGCCTAATAATTTAATTATAGTTTATAATTATATTAATTGTTATCTTCTCTTCTAGTATGAAAATAGAAGCTTTTACTTTTTTACTAATTGTTTTCAAACTGTTTTTATTATCACAAAAGCTATTCCAAATAAAGCTTTAAAATGCATTTGGGACAGCTTAAATATTTTATTAAGTTGGATGTAAAATTATTGTGAGTAAAGTAATTAACTTAGGCTTCGTTTGGGACGGCTTTCTTACTGCTTCTTAAATCAACTGCAAGTTACTTTTAACCGTCCCAAATGAAGCCTTAATAAACTTTTAGAAAGTTTACTTGAAGAATCTGGCATGGCCTTAACCTTAAACTTCTAGAAAGTTTCAGAGCTAAAAGTGAAACTTAGGCTTCGCTTGGGATGACTTTATTACTGCTTATCGTCCCAAACGAAGCCTTAGAAGTTGGATCAAAAGCAATTTCTCATGAAACAATGCCACATCTACTCAAATGGTGCATGCATGACAAACTCCCTAGCCTTTAAAGAGATTTTATGCAGAAAGTCCATTTAATTTAGCCTATTCTATCTAGTTTGAAGTCCCTCAAGCTTTATATTATCGCTTTTGGTTCTAAATGTATGTTGTTACTGTTGCTGCCTTTGTATCTATGCAATCATATTATGTCTTAGCTTGGTGTGATGTTGATGGATGTGGCCAAGAAGGGTGCCTTCATAGTCTCCATCACAATGAAACTAAATGACAAAGCAATCCAAAAAAAAAAAATGAGCACATTTGTGGTCCATCTCTTGAATGATAAGAACTTGGAGATTCGAACCGCTACTTTGTGGTTCTAATAGTGGTTGAGTCAACTATTTTTATTTAAAGCCTCACATAAACTATTTAAATATTTTAGAGGACATAGATAAAACTCTCATTATTTTTCTTAAGTAAATTCTTTAATATTTTTATGGTAATATATTTTTATTTGTAGGGTTGACTGATGATATCTAAACGTATTTGATGTTAACAAAGATTATAAGAGCATAAAACTCTCAAAAAGGCATGGCGAATAAATATGTACTTGATTGGTTTTGAAAAAATGCATGATTTTTATTTATAAAAAAATAAATATTATTTTTTATAAAATTTATGATAAAATAATAAATATTTATATATAATGTATGTAATAATTATTATTTATATTATTAAATCTGATCCGTCAATCATTCTTACTTTCTACCGTTCGAACTCAAACGTGTCCCCAAACAACGCCGCGCCGTAACGGAAATCTTTTAAAACCCCCGCGACCCACACGGCGAGCACGATGCTCCGCGGCGCACCACACCGCCTAACGGTAACCTTGCCTTCCCCCTGTATAAATATGAACAACCAATCCCTCACCAAATCATCTCCTACTACTCCTCTGTTTCTCCCCGTCTTCTTCCTCCTCCCCACTATAAGAAAAGCTACAAGCTCCCAATCTGTTTAATTTCTTCTTTTGAAAGAGATTAAGCAGTAGATGGATCGTCTTCTTCCTATCGCCGGAGTTTTACTGAGCTTGTTCCATGGGAGCTTCGGCTATGACTTCTATGTGGGAGGAAAAGACGGATGGGTGGTGAAGCCACATGAAAGCTATGATCTTTGGGCCGTGAATATGAGATTTCAAGTAAACGATAAGCTTGGTAATGATAATATTCCAGTTCTAAATCCTCTTATTTTATATCGATCGTTTCTTTCTGTTGATCTATTCTAACGTATGTGATTATGTGCGTTCTTCTGTTTCTGCAGTTTTTAAGTACAAGAAAGGGGAGGACTCTGTTCTGCAGGTGAAGGAGAAGGATTTCAATCTCTGCAACACCAGTAATCCGATTAAGAAGTTTAATAATGGCGATACTATTTTCCTTCTTGATCGATCGGGGCCTTTCTACTTCATTAGTGGGGAGCCTGGGCACTGTGCGCAGGGGCAGAAGCTTGTCGTGGTTGTCATGGCGGTTAGGCTTCCACCTTCACCTTCACCTTCACCGGCTCCGGCGGCCAATTCGGTCTCTCCGCTACCGTCTCCGACGCCTTCCTCCGCCATTGGAGCGGCTGTTTCAAGAGTCTACTGTGGAGTGTTAGCTCTGTTCTTGGGGGCGGTGGTGTTTGGTTAGTTTCATGGAAGGATTTGAAGAGTACTTTGTGGTGTTTTTTCTTCTTCTTGTTGTTGCAAGTTGCAGTGTCTTTTGTTTTTAAAAAAACAGGAGTTTGATTTGGGATTATTGTCTGTTTTTTGTGTTATTTTGCTTTATATGTAATAGTTGTAATTAATGGGGGGTTATATGATAAATTTGGAATTTTATGATGATTGGTAGAAAGACATGAGTGTTATGGGATTTACAAACATGCTTCTAAATACATACATTTTAAAAATTTACATATTTAACATTGAAAATTGTTTACACTATGGATTTAATCATGGATTTATGATTTAAACCTACTAAAAATATCATTGTTGCTAGCCACTAGTATATTATCGATCTAATTTTTCGATCAAATTTCGTGCGAATAATGTGATTGTCCTATCAGCGAACTTTTATTTTATCTAGTGAACGTACGCTCCTCTACGTTCGGATCTAGACAAAAAAAGCGCAATACCGAGTACCGAGTACCGAGTTGTACCGAGTTTTTTAAAAAAACTCGGTATTGCGCTGTTTTGATCTAAAACCGAACGTAGAGGAGCGCACGTTCACTGGATGTAATAAAAGTTCCCTATCAGCGGATACGTTCAATTGATCTTTCAGCTAGTTGTTGTTCTACCAAGGTTTTCGTGAAAAATTTGCCGAAAATATTAAGCCATAGTTTTTAAGGAATTTGAGAATTTCATTTGATATTTGGATCGTTTAGATTCACATCGTAACACATCATATACGATAAATTAGATGCGAACACTACGAATAAAAGATAAATTTAAACACGTAAAATATTTACCAAAATTCAAATTTCGAAGTATAGGAGAAATTCTATCTTATAATTTTGATGATAACATTCAAAATCATAATCAATGATATTGATTGACGGCTCAATTTTTTTTTTTTTTTTTTGATGAATTTACCTTTAGATTAGTAAGACAAGATGAACTTCAAAACCCTTGGATTTACTCAGGATTAGTGCTTTATGTGATATCATGAATTGCACTAATCTCAGCACACATCAAGATATCTTGAAATATTTTTTTTAATTGAAATGCTAATTTAAAATTTAAAGCAGTCAACTAATCTTAAAAAATAAAGAAAAAATCCAAAATCTTAATAGGAAAATTTAACTCTTCTAATCAAATCTTTTTTTTAATTAATTTTGTGTTATGAATAAACGTGCATATGCTTCAACGCAGCCTGCACGAACTTAATTAAATTAATTTCAGCTTTAATTTCCCGTCAAATTTTCTATTGAATTATTTAAATTAAAATTTTTATTTAAAAACGGGCAAAAAAAAAAAAAAAACCGAAAACATTAAGAAATTTTAATTAAAAAACAACACCGCCGCCTCCCGACGCCACCGCCTCTCCCTGCTTTGAGCCGCATGCAGATTTATGGGATTTGTCTACTACGGGCTAGGTCTGGGTATGGTTGACCCGAATCCAAAATGGGTCAGATTTGGTTCGAAAAATTGATTCGTTTTTAAAAACGGGTCAGATTCGAGTTGACCTGAATAGTGCCATGTTAGTTCCGGGTTGGATTCGAACCTGATCCGTGACCCGATTTTGACATCCCTAGGTATCACCATCCATACATCATTCGCCTGTTTGAAGCTCCGGTGAGCATTCAATCGAACAACAAATGGAAACATATTTTTACATTTTATCTCGGTTTTGAAGAATACTCCGTCAATATTAGTATCGCACTATTCACATAAACGCATTTTTTCGATGTTGCATTTCAATAAAAAAAATATACGCATAATATTCTTTTAGATGTTAAAAATGGAGTTTGATTTGAAATGAATTACTGTTTGATATGACTGATTGCTAATGCATTTTGAAGTGAAAATAAGCCCGTAAGAGGGAACGTCTTTGAGAAGGACGAACTGAATTTATTTATATCTTTTATTTTCTATTAGCATGATTATAAAAAATAAAATTCAAAGATTTATGTTTTTTCTATATTTTTTGTTAATTATATAGACCTATCTTAATGTTTATTATTTTATCATTGAGTTAATGAAAGATCAAAATAATTTCCGACCATTTACAAATTCAACATAATAACTAATTTTGTTCTTATTTAAAAAATTATCTGATAAATTCCATTCTTTTTTCTTTATTTCTGGAAAAGTTTTTATTTTTATAAAATTTATGTATAAACCAAAATTGTATAATTTTATATTATTGAAATAAAATAAAAATATTACTCATTAATTTATTATTATTATTAAATCTTTTATACGGTCATTAGTAAGCTTTAGTCAATACGACAACATTGGCGGATGATAAGATAAACTGAGCAGGAAGTACAACGTGGAGGCACGGGGTTACTATTTTTTAATTTAATTTTATTTTAAAAAATAAAAAAATTATTTAATTATAATTATTTATGAATTTTATTTTGTCTTCTTTGTTGAATTTATGTTAAATTTTTAATGCGCAAAATAGAGTATTTTATTTATTTATCCTTACTCATGAAAATTCAAGGGCAAAATTACGAGAAGGTGAAATTATTCTGTGCCGATGCGGATGATGTTCGGAGGCAAATTAAAGCATGCCATGTCATCCCTTTAGCTATTTACTCACTTTGTATCAGGTGAGGTGGTGCGCTCTGATTCGCCTCCAGAAGATCCTGCGTCCGCACAGAATAATTTCGCTATGACAAGAGGCATAATTAAAAATAATTAAGCAGATGGAACTTAATTAAATAAAATTGAGAAGAATGAGCAAAAACAGAAAATAAATTTTCATTTTCATGAATATGGAAATTAAAAAATTTTATTCCTTTATATGTATTTATTTAATTTAGAAATAACTCAATTAAGATTAATACAAAATTTTTAATTCAACAAATTTTTATAAGAAAAAGTTGTTTTAAAAGCAATACGAAAGTTGTTCCAAACTAGGGGTGTCAATTTCGGGTAACGGGTCGGGTTCGGGTCGAACCCGAACTGACCCGGGTTCAAACGGGTCGACCCTAACCCGACCCGGGTAGATAAACGGGTCGAAAATCCGAACCCGGACTCAACCAAGCGGGTTGCCGGGTTGACCCGACCCGACACGGCGCTCGAAACGCCGGTGAGCGCGGCGAGCGCAGAGGCGCAGCGCGAGGGTGCGCGGACGAGAGTGAGGGCGAGCGTGGTGCTGGCAGTCGGGGAAGCTTCGTGGGTAGGCGGGGTAGCACGGGCAGTTCAAGTTAAATAGGTTCGCGGGTTGACCCGACAACCCGCCGGGTCAACCTGAACCTGACCATTTTTCAAACATGCCGAATCCGTGAATCCGAACCAGGCCCGTTTTGAAATAGGGTCGGGTCCAACCCGGATTTTTCGGATTGTGTCCGGGTCGGATTTTCTTGTCGTGTCAAACATTGACACCCCTATTCCAAGCGAAGCTAAAATAACATGTTTTATATCAAGAAAGCGAGAAATATGATAGTTTTATTGAAGATCTAACCTATGTAAACTTAGGTTTTGTTTGAAATACTTTTCTTACATCTTTCTAAATCAGTTTTTTAGTACAAATATTTGTTTAACTAGAAACTTTTGTACTAGACAATTGCTTAGAAAATAATAAAAAAGCCGTCCCAAATGAAGCACTAATATAACGAGTGGCAAAGTGGGGATAACTAAAGTCGGATAAATGGGCCTACCACTTCAAAAAGTCGACAATAAGAGAAAGGATATATGAGATGCTTTCGAACTCACGTGTATCATTCTAAGGCTTTGTTTGTGGCAGCTTTTTTGTTGCTTTCTAAAGCAACTATTTAGTACAAAAGTTTCTAGAACTGAAAATCTTTTGTACTAAAAAATAGTTTTAGAAAACAATAAGAAAACTGTCCCAAACGAAACCTAAGGTTTGAAAAATGAAGATGATAAATGAGCGAATCTCCAAAGATGCCGAGGAGAAGGATGACTTAGGCTTCGTTTGGGGCAGCTTTTTTATTGCTTCTTAAAATAACTTTTTTGTAAAAAATTTTAAGAAGCGTTAAAAAAGCTGTCCCAAACGAGACCTTAAACAATAATGTCATCGATACAACAATGAGATAATAAATATCACAAATTTTAATACATCCACCAATTATCATTTTGAGCCCCAACACATAAAATGCTACCAAAATTATTCAATAGCAATTTTGAATCCAAAACTTGTCAAAAGAAACAAGTTGCATAAGAAGAAGAATAAATTATATTGGCGGTGGAAGTAAACTACGCAACGAACACAAAATACGAAAAAGAAAGCAGCAGAAATAAGAGAACACTAAGATTTAACGTGAAAAAACTCTGAAATCGAAAAAAAAAAAACTAACTGATTGGCACAATCAGATTCTACAAAGACTAACAAATATTTTGAAGAATAAAGATGGAGGTTCAATAAACAGATTTGCAGATTAAAATCTACATGTTACAGTGAAGTTCAAAGAAGTATTGTCTTACAGATTTTGAGAATATTTGTTAACGATATATTCTTTTGGATTTAAGCCAATTAATCATCAAAATAATTGAAGTCATTCGCTTTCGTTTGTGAAAACTTTTTTATTATTTTATGAAGCGATTTTTTAATATAAAAAGTTATTTTAAAAACAGTAAGAAAGCTATCACAAACGAAGCCTTAAACACTAATAAATCATCAAATTAGATAAAACAATAATGTCAAACTGTGTAGTTCGATAAAAGAAAAAATAAAAAATTCAATTGATTTGTTCAGTGATTTCTTTCGTTCTTCACTTGTTAAATGTTCGATAAAAGTGAGCTAGCTCCGACTTGACTTGTTAACACAAGAGTTAGCTAGTTTAAAACATATTAATGTAAAATATATTTTTTAAAAAATTAACATTTAGGAGTTTATTAATTATTAAAAAAATTGAAAATTATGCATCATTTTCTTATATCAAATGATTATTTATTATTTCTCTTCCAATTTCTCATTATTTTTTATCATTTTGATAAAACAACTATTTTAATCAAAACAAT